ACTTAACCAAACTTAACGAAATCAAAGCCAAAACGTGCGTCAAGATGGCCCCGAGGTACCGAGCCACAAGGGCCCATGACACCCCGTCCGAAACGACACGTAGCTGAGCCACAAGGGCCCGACCACTGCACTGGAGGCACTCAACGGACCTTGGGGTGGGGCTCAATTAGGCCCGCCCCTTAGACTGCCTAGCCACCGGCTCTAGGCAACGACCCTCTCCTAGGGTCGTTCCCTAGGCCCGGTTGGCAACGGCCTTCGCCAACGGTCCCCTTGTTGGGCCGTTGGCTGGGACCGGTCAACCTACTGTGCACATTGTCTATGCACCAGATGGTTTCTTCTCATCTGCAAAAATAGCTCAGGCATTTCTAACTCGTCCAAAACATCAACAACACATCATAGACAAGTAATAGATCATTTAATAGCTCAAATACAACATATATCTAGCATTTCTACTCATCAAAGACTTCACATAGTCTTGTAAAAAGCTTGGGAGTCCATGGGTTATACCTTTGAACCTTTCTTCTTCTTCTAGCTTGGTTCCACCTTCTTCCTTAGCTAGCTACAACCTCCTTCACCTCCTAAACATCTCCAACAAACCATAACAATCTTACTACTAAGTTCTCTGAGAAAGAAGGAGAAAAACTCAGAAGAAATGGAAGGCTAAGGTTGAAATGGAGGAAGATGGAATAACTTACTGTGAACTTCTCCCTGGTCTAGTAGTGCTATGGTTTGGCAGCCAAAGATGGGAATCAGGAGAAAATATGAGACTACTATTCCTTTTATATGGGTTCAAAACCCTAGGAGAAACAAAAATGATTGGTTGGTGGCAATATGGTAATTTTGGTTGATTCCAAAGAGTATCAGAATGGATGGATTCGTGTGGTCTACCATGCTCTATGAACCAAAGGCTAGAATTGTTAAATAAAATAGTTTGGGGTTGAAAGAGGAATTTTTCCAAAATGATTTCTAGATAAACACTTGATTTAGGCTTCTCAGAATTCTCCCGGTTTCACTCAGATAGATTTCTCAGTTCAAAACTTGGTATGCAATGTACCCGAACATTTAGGATATTGGTTTCAAATAAGTCTTGGTGTCGAATTTATTTAAAAGCGGCTCAAAATAATTTATTCAACATTGATTTCATCGCAAAAATTTTTATGGAGTGAAAATTGGCTATTTTGGATTTTCTTAAAACCGGATTTATAAAATTAAATTTTGGGTTGTCACACGTGGGCCGGGCCAGGTTGGGCCTGTTTTCTGACAACCTGTGACGGGCCAGCCCATATGGGACGGGCTGGCCCGTTTTGACAACTCTATCTTCCCATCTAGGAGCATTTGTAGGAGTGAATCTACTTTGCAATCAAGATTTGGTACTTTTACTTGCTTTCTATATTCATTTCTGTTTCTTATTCTTGATGTAATGTGGATTTGCTTATCTATGAGTGGCTAGATTCTTGTAGGAATTGAATTGTGAATCTTAAACATGATGCTAGTGTGATATATAATTCTCAATTAGGTTAGATATTGCAATTGTGTGTTAATCTTGTTACAATTGAGTGAATTGTATGCATCTTGTGGGGTCCGACCAACTCCTAGGGTTATTCTAAGCAAGTGATTTAGGCAAGGGATTACTAGATCATTTGAAGCTCCAAGTCAATTGCATTTCCTAGCTTTAAGATTCGAAAGACCTATAAGCTAGGAATGAGGTGAAGACTAGGTGTTCGATAAAATGCCTCTTAGGCCTATAGTCACTTAACTGTGTTCTATACCAAGAGGAAACCTAGTAAACCGAGAGGTGAACGGTTCTTGTAAAGCCTCACTAGATTCGGCTAATTGCAATATCATAACCTAAGTCCTAAGACACTAGTGGCATTGTGCAAGAGATGCGCAATTCAATCCTACTTTCTTTTAATTGAATTTCAATAATTGTTGTTGCTTTGCATACTACAACCCGACTATTGGCATCCAATGTTTTTTGTGAGCATGTATTTGACTAGCGTGAGTCTAGTTCCTAGGTTCCATATCTACCTAATACTTCCAATTTGCCATCCTTGAGAACGATACAAACTCGGGGTGTAAGCCCGCAACTCTTTGACACGTGAAACACAAAACACGCGTACATCACCCATCTTAACCCTTAACCGCTCTGCCTGCTCCCTACCCACCGTTGTCTCCATTAAAAAACAATGTTGAAAAAATCGCTAGGCGTTTGTTTTTTAAAAATATTTTTTATTTTTTATTTTTTAAGACTTGATAATTATACACTATTTAATACTTTAATAGATAATACTAAAAGATAAAATTTCAATGTTGGTCATATGACTATAAGGGCTTTGTTAATTTCAGCATCTGACTTTCAAAAGTGTCAATTTAGTACATTGACTATGCAATTTTTATCAATTTTGGTCACTCCGGTCAAATTACCGGCCAAATCTTGTCGGAAAATTTTAAGAATTAAAATAATGAGGGTATTTTATTTCACATCTCTTCATTCTTCTCCAGCGAATTCATATTTTCCGCCGAATCCGTCGCAGCAGCACACCTTCCGGTTTGACTCATGTATCTTTTTGATTGGCAATCCGTGTCATCTTCGGCCCCTTCATTTTTATTATCATGATAATGGTGGCGAAAATGAACACTGTTGCACTTTTGACCAGGAAAAAGAGTTCCGGTAAAGCTCGATAAAGGAGGAAAATATGTCCCATTGACGTCGAATCTTGATTATGGTACTAGCATTTGTCAATGGGCGAGAAAGTGAAACAATGAACGAAAGAGAGTGTAAGCTCTCTTCTTTATCCACACGCTTCGTGTACTGTGTTTTGAGCAAGATTGATTTTTTTTTTCTGTATTTAAAGTTGTTGGGGGCTGAGTTTTGGGTAGAAAGTGCGTATGAATCAGGGGGAAGGTGTGGCGCAAGTTTTGGATTTGGAAACTGCGCTCAAAGATGGGATTTTGGGCGGCGGCGGTGGAGTGGTTGTCGCCAGGAAGAAGCTTAGTCGGGGGAAATGATTGAAGAGATGTGAAATTACTAAAATACCCCATTATTTTAACTGTTAAAATTTTCAAGCGAAATTTGGCCGATAATTTGACCGGAGTGACCAAAATTGATAAAAATTACATAGTCAAGGTACTAAATTGACACTTTTGAAAGTCAGGTGCTGAAATTAACAAAGCCCCTATAGTCATATGACCAAAATTGAAATTTTCTCATACTAAAATATTAAATATTAACTAATTAACCTAAAAACATATATAATTGTAATTGTATAAAGATTTAAAGAATCAAAACACAATTTAACGAAGCCACAACTCACAAAGTATCAACTTAGTTCCAAACTTTCAAATCAATTTATAGAATCATAGAGAATATAATCAAGTTCAAACTCCAAACGACTTCATTTTGAACAATTTGACCGATTTAGGGTTAGTCATTTTCAGCGAAATAACCCATTTAAAAAAAAAATCTAAACAATAGCTAATCGACTGACTAGGTGGCCTAATCGGCGCCTAGCACCTAGGCGCAATTTTTGCAACAATAATATAAATACAACATTGTGCTTCTTACATGACACCATGTTTAATACCTCACGAACTATTCATGGATTGCCAAGCCACGATAGTTTCAACTGATAATACTCATTGTGGAGGGTGGTTTGGGAACCAGAACCCACCGGAATCAAACTATCACCCCCATCCACACACATTACCACCACCCACACTGCTCCCTTCCACCCTACTCGCGCCTAAACCACCTCCACCATGCACACTCCCGCCCTCCTGATTTAAGCATCGCAGCCTCCGCCACAATTACAACACCTACCTCAACTCCATCACCGCTGAGCTCCTTTGTCGCGCCTTACCCATGCGACCATTGCCCAGACATACCCCATCCCCACCCACCTCACTCACATCCCTCCTCCCCTCTCCCACTCAATTCCACGCTGTATTGGTAGTTCGCTGGCACCGACTTCCGAACCGTTGCTCCATAGAAAAACTTCATTGTGTACCCTAACCTCCCACAAAAAAAAAAAAAGCACTCAACCTTTCATACTTAAAAGAAACATGGAGGAAGCAACCATTTCTTCTTTGCAGCGTCATCTGACTTCGCAACAACGCCTTCGTGTTCAACGCGACACGAATTCGGTAGAAACTCCACTACATGCCTCCAAAGTTATAGTCATTAAGCCTTACAAACTTGCCTACAAATCCCCCAATATGTTTCATCACCTTCTCCGACGTGTAACCAAATGGGAACCCATGCACCTAAATCCAAAACTCAACTTCGTTCAAGCTTACCGTTGAAGGCTGCTCACTCGAGGTGATACTCTTGCAGACCAACATATGGTTTTCAAAGGACCAAGGTCCGTCATCAAGCACACGCCTCATGTCTCACTCTGTGAAGAATTGGAACAAGTATAAGCCATTAGAGACCTCTATAATAGCACTCTACCCATAAGTCTCCAAACTGACGCAAAAACATTTTGCATGGTTTTGAAATGAATTGCATGATGTGTAAGCAAACGTTCGACAAAAAACACTGGCTATCCCCCTCCCTGGAACCACTGCCACACACAATCCTCCACCACCGCCATCGCAGTGTCCTCATCCACCGGAGCGAGGTTCTCGCACTGCTCTTGCAAACGACATACGCCCATCTTCTGTTAAGAGGCGTTCACATACAAGCGTAAAAACCAGAAGGGAAGGTAACATATTAGAAAAAAACGAAGAAGAAACGAATCGGAAAAGCTGTCGTGAAGAATAAACCAATAAAAAACCCTGAAGATATGTAGGGAAAAAACCTAGAAAAATTTTGTGTTATTTATTTATTTATTAGTTTTTAATTTTTTTTAATATAATTATAATTTTAATATTGGAATTTTAATTTTTAAGGTAAGACATGTTAGAAAATTGTACAAAGGATACTCCGTATTGAAAAAAACAATTCTTAAGATGCAATGATAGAACTAACAATTATTATACTGGAGCATCATTATTTGTTGGTTATAAAAAAAGAAAAGAAAATATGATGATATTTTATATGAACCAAATAAGATAATTATTCTACTGAGTTGAGCCGCTATCATCGCCAGTGTTGCACCACCATCATCACCGCCACAACCACCACCGATTCACCCAATTTCTTAACCCTAATCAAATCTAATTTTTTGTTGGTTATAAGCCTACGCGGCTGTGCTTTTGAGCCTTTGCCCTTTGAGGTTGAAGCCTTTATTTCCCCCCCAAACTTTCCCAACGCCAACGGGTTTTCTTTCTACGGAGTATATTTTCTCCTTCGAAAGCAGCCGCAGAAGAAGAACCCCAGATCTTTCGAACCCATCGCGTTCTTGATTTCTTCCGTCGATTTCATTGATCAAGTTAGTATATTTTCTTCAACAAAACCTTTAACTAATTTTTCAAGCAAAACCAAATTTTAATCCGTTACTTTTTTTCTTATTAGTTTATCTATTGAAAATTCCCTGATCTTGTTTTTTTCTTGGAACTATGTTGGTCATGTTGGTTTCTTTTCACCGCGTAATTTCATTGATTATGACATTGAGACATTCCATCGAACAGCTGCCGACAAAAAAATGATCCTTATCTTGATTGTCTTTGCTGTTGTATTGTACCAGAGTTAAACATTTTTGGGGTTAGGGTTTTTCCTGTGGTGGCTTTAGGAGCCCTTTCAGCTAAGTGAAAAGGCCAAAGCAGTGAATGTTACAAGTTTCTGGCACTCTCTGAAGGTTTGGTTTCGGTGTTGGTTTTCGACTCAATTTTGACCGCCCTGGCGCCCTCTGTTTGGTTTCTCCTTGTGAATTTGATATTGATAATGTTGTTTATTGCAATGTTAGGTTTTGTGTAGACAGGTATGATATCTTAGTTGATTGATAGCCTTCTAAAAGAAATGGGGCCTATATACTACATACTTGTTGCATTGCCTTGCACGGCTGGTGCCATTGGGTTTGCAATCTTCCACATATATCTGCACCTCTTGAACTACACGGAACCTACCTACCAGAGATACATTGTGCGCATCGTATTTATGGTTCCTGTGAGTATTCAGTCATTACTTGCCCTAATTGTGTTTGCTCATTATTCATTGCCTTAATTCTGTTCACCCATTCAAGCATATAATAATCTGTATTACTTACACTTGCCTGAGGAGTAAAAATTCTAAACATATCTTTCTATCTACTTTCATGCCTTACTAGAGTTATATCCTGGTTTTATCTTTGTTTTTGAGTTGGAATGTTGCAGTTAATGTGGTACCTAGAGTCAGGATTTTTATCTAAAAAGAATCTTATGAGGGAAAGGAAGTAGCATCAGATTTTTCAAGGTGTTCAGTTCTTAGTGAATAATGAACCTGATTGCCCACCTTAACTTGCATTTATGAATTATGAAACATAGTGGCAATACTGAATGATGGTTTGAATCTTGACTTTGTTGTGGGATAGGATTTATTGTGTCATCACTTGCTAATTGATGGAATAATGCTCAAGTGTCATATTTATTTGAATTGCATATTTGAACGGAACTTATCAGGATCCAAGCACAGGTGTTATCATCACTGAATTGTCCATAATTGGGTTTGTGATACTGGATAGTTATGCATTTAGGGCTAAATTCAACTTGATGATAGTTTTGTGTTTTTGTAAATGAGCAAAGAAGTTCCATATGGAGTAATTATTGTGTGCATGGGTTTATTTGAAGTTGGCAGATTTACAGATATATCAACTGTAATAACTGAAATCTGTTCTCCTGTGCAAATGTTTTATATTTCATGTTGGCAATTCTACTATTAATGTCATTGTTGTACTACCAATTATGCAATGTAGTTGGAACACTAGTTCTTCATTCAAAATTTCATGTCTGAGGATAAAAACTGTTTTACTGCCATTTAATTTCCTGATAAATGGCTTTAACCATTCTAAACTTATTTTTGTTTACAGGTCTATGCGCTGGCCTCTTTTTTATCTCTTGTAATGAACAAAAGTGCAATATATTTCAATTCCTTGCGAGAAATGTAAGTGTAGTGAAAAAACCTTGCTTATAGTTTTTTTTTTTTGCCCATGGTTACTCTTCCCCTGTGTGAATTTTGCCTGTGCTGTTTATTGTATAGTGTGTGCAATCTGCTCTGTTTGAGAGTTTTACAGAGAGAAAAAACAGTGGTGAAGCTTACAATTCTTGTCTTTTCCTGATAGCATAATTGGATGGTTATAGTAATTTCATTATTAGAAAATAATATGGGTGTGGAAATAGGTTTACAATAAGTTTTAATTGTCTCATATTTAAGCTGTTATATTCTTGCTTCCTGATTTGCTCTACATCAATACATCTATGTTAATTCCTTTTATTAAAGCTTTCTGATCAGAATCATAAACCAGATGCATCATCATGAATAACAGACATAATCAATTTGAGGTGAAGTGGGGTAGTGGTGATTTGTGACATCTTTATGGACAGCTAAGGGCTCCTGACTTACATCAGTGTTAGTAGTTGGAGGCTGTTATTGAGGCATTATGATGGATAAACCTGTTTAGCAAAAAGAGCTATTGGGGAAACACTATTTTGTTTACTGAAGCTGAGAATGGGTATTTTGGCATACTTAGCACTTGTTTGTCCCACAGCTCATTGGAGCTTATCTACTCCTAAAAGCATGCTTGGCCAAACAATACAAAATGAAAAATGGCTTTTGAAGTCAAATAAGAGGCAATCTTCGCAGTTAATATTCTAGAAAAGTATATTTTCAATTAGCCCCAGCTGGGCTAAAATAAGCATTTATGCTTTCTACTATCTCTAAGGGATAAATTTCAACATATATATTTTTAGAAGAGAAAGCAACTCCTTGCCCCATATATTAAACTACAAATACTTGAGAAGTATTGTTGCAAAGTAGCGTTTTTAAATGGGTTAGGGGACTATGGACATATGTTCATTTTGTTTTTAATCATTGTAAATTTTCAGGTATTATATTGTATGCACCTTCTTGGCATCTTTATTTTTATTGTTGTTGTTGTTATTATTATTATTATTATTATTATTATTATTATTATTATTATTATTATTATTATTATTATACAAAATAAAAATGTATTTTAGCATACTTTGGCTTCCCAAATTCATATACGGAGTAATAATTCAGCCCTTTTCAGTGCAGCTTGATTGATATTTGGGATTGAGGTTGGGGGAAGGAGTGCAAGCAAGATTAAAGGAATGAACTTATTGAGATTTAAAATTAGTTTAAATGTTAATTCTAGTTGAAATATCTGTTATTTGTTCTCGATCAGTATGTTCCAGTAGAAAATAATGGTTGGGTACTTCGCATTGCGATTGGGATCGTTTCTTTTCTTTTACAAATTGAATAAAGAATATATCAATGAACAAATATCGAACCATTCTTTATTTTGTTACAATTGAATTGTATTCTCCTTTTAAGTAATATATATGGTTTGGTTATGCTACACTCTATCCTTGTATATTTCTTCCTAATTGTCTGAATACAGGTGTCAAAATCTGTTATAGTTTTCCTACATTTTGATTTATCTTGGAAGGCAAGATCAGTCCATTTAGTTTTGTCATCTAACATCCTGTGTTACTAGCTCTTTTGTTGCTATTTGATTGCATGCATTTAGCTCTAGTCGTCTATGAACTGCAATTATATATCATATAACACCCTGTATTATCAATATGTGATCTTTTCTGATTTTATTTCAGATATGAAGCCTGGGTCATATATAATTTCCTATCGCTGTGCTTAGAATGGGTTGGTGGTCCAGGAGCTATTGTTCTAAATTTGACTGGGCGGTTTCTAAAGCCTAATTGTTGTCTGATGACATGTTGCTTTCCTCCAATTTCATTGGATGGGTGAGTCCCTTAGACATATGGACTATGGAAACTTCTAAACCTTATGAATTAGTTACTCAATAGTGATTACAATATCATTTTACTAGATTGGAAGTTTATGTTCTGTTGTCTTAATACCATGTGGTGCTACTAAAGTCCTGGTAGGGCTTAAGCTTGTGACCTAGGTAGGAGGTCATAGGTTCAATTCCCATTCTCCTGGTATGCACTCAAAATAAATAATTAATAAAACCATGTGGTGCTTCCTGAACCCTATTAATCTGCACTATTAGTAGAGTTCATAATTTTGGATCAGTAGCATCTCATACTTCGGTTGGTTTTTTTTTTTCCAATTTGATGTATTTCTTTACTGTATTCCCATTGCATATGTTGTTGATATTTAGTGAATGGAATATTTGACAATATGAATTATGAAATCTGTGCAGGAGATTCATACGGAAGTGCAAGCAGGGCTGCTTGCAGTTCGTAATCCTCAAGCCTATCTTAGTTGCACTTACATTTATACTTTATGCTAAAGGAAAATATGAGGATGGAAATTTCAATCCGCGGCAATCATACCTCTATCTCACAATTGTCTATACCATTTCATACTCAATGGCACTTTATGCCTTGCTATTATTTTACGTAGCATGCAGAGATTTACTTCAGCCATTTAATCCTGTTCCGAAATTCATTATAATCAAGTCTGTCGTATTCCTTACATATTGGCAGGTTGGATCTCTTATTTAATTCTTCTTTACTTTCATACTACATAAGGTGAATTTGAATTTGCTCATTTTTCTCTAGCCTTTCGCATGAACTTTTCTCAAAGTCCTTTGTGCATATGTCTGCAGCATTAGTGGTGAAAATTTCAATGAATAGGTTATTTGTTATTTCGATTGTCAGATACTTTAGGTGTTGTCTATTAATTCAGAAGAGAGAATGAGAGATAGATGTAATAATGTTACTTCCACCTACATGTTAAAAAGGATTTAGAAGAAAATGGATCTAATTTGAAAGGATGCATGGGGTTTGAGGTTGCAATATTGGGTATAGTTATCTTGGAAGTGACACCTTAATAATCATCTTGGCATAACAGACATTATTTTGGTGTTGATTTTTTTTTTTTTTTTTTTCGTTTGGAAAATTGAATGTCTACTTGCTGTTGCATCTTGTACTCTGAATTGTGATAAAGGTCAAGTAATCCATTCCCACTGACTGCCTCTTTAACTTTTGACAGGGTGTTCTGGTTTTTCTTGCTGCAAAGTCCAGACTTATAAAGGACACAGCAGAAGCTGCAGACTTTCAAAATTTTTTAATTTGCGTTGAGATGCTAATCGCAGCTATTGGACATTTTTATGCCTTTCCATACAAGGAGTATGCTGGTGCAAATATTGGTTCTTCTCGTGGCTTTACTGCAAGCCTTGCGCATGCTCTGATGTTGAACGACTTTTACCATGATACAGTGCACCAGGTGCCTACCACATTATCCCGTGTGCTTGTCTTCTGAGCCTTCAATCTCTTATTCTCACTACTCTTCTCATAATGCAGTTTGCACCTACTTACCACGATTATGTACTCTACAACCACGGTGATGGTGAAGGAGCGAAGAAGTATAGGGCCCGGACCTTTGTTCCGACTGGCCAAGAGATGGATGCTGTTAGAAGAAATAAACATGGCTTTGGAAACAGGTTGGAAGACGTACAGATGTCATGTCGCTCATCATCTGCTAGCAGGACTTCACAAAATCCCGATAACACTCAAGATTCAACAAAAACTGAGGCAATGAACTCTTCACTACTCATGGAGTCATCAAGTTCACAGTCTTTGCCTTACGATCTGTCACTCATTGATATAGACATATCCGATTATCCCACAAAGGTACCTTCAGCTAATGAAACTGTGAAGAGGTGACTATGGACTGTAAGTTTACCTCTTTTGTACCTATATCCTAAACCGTGTATTAGGGTTGTGTCATTTGTACGTGCCTGTTCATCTTCCCATTGTTTACGTTTAATCACTTAGTATGTACATGTAGTCAAACATGCTCTCTCATTTTTCCTTAAAACTGTCCATAGTGTTGTTCTATTTGTACCATAGGGTTGAGGAAACCACAATTGACTAGAACGCTTTACAGTACTGAAACTTTTTACATTTCAGTGGAACTTTAACGAGATGGCTGGCTTGTTTTGATTCTTGATACTGAGTGGTCTTTTGTGTGCTGTGCTTGTTTCTGAGAATAGCTAATTGTACAAGGCAATTGGTTCATCTGACATTATCATTTTGTACAATAACTTGCAAGCCCGCATTTCATACTTCACAAACCTCGGCTTAAATTTGAAGATAGCACATTCAATGTAACGGTTAGGGTTGGTTACATCTATCTTTGATCATCTCATTTTTTGAATGAGTTAATACCCAAAATTGTTCTCGATTATAGTGTTTTTTTACAATTGTCTTAAATGACTTTGGTGTCATAAAGCAGTTCCAGATTTTTGTGTTATTGCTCAATATTGTCATCCGTTTATTAATCTGTCAAAAGGGTGTTAAGTACAAGGATAATATAGTCATTTCATATTTAGGTATTCTCTTAGTCTTCTTCCTTTACTCCACCAGTTGAGTGGGAATTGGCGGGAGCAGTAAAAAGCCCCTTTGACATCACTTCATCTGCAAATAATTATCGACGTGAAAACACAGAGCCAGTGGACCGATCTTTGAATAGGAAAAAGAGTGGATCTGCGAGGTCCCAAATGAATTGGCTTATTCGAAAAAAGTCTTGTTCTTTGGAAGATCTATCTCATGTCTTGTACTGCATGGTTCCACTCTGCAAGAACTCTGAATCATCCTCTTGAAGCTCATCCTCCTTATCATAAAAGATCTGCTTGCCCCAAAATGACTTGGACCAATAGGAAAATCCCAATTTATTGGGCCTTTCGATACAAAGAAAGCCCCATGGACGCCATATGAAGTAATTCTTTCATGTAAAGAACCCATTTCGATACTTAGGATCGGTTGATAACCCACAGCAGAAGGCATTCTACCTAGTAAGACCCATACTTCCGATCCTGCTTGGACGAAACAAAAGATATTGCCGATAAATAGAAGTACGTCTTGCTCAACTCATTCCATACTAGAACTAATTGCAGGAAATCCTTTGATAACAAAGATTCCTATTTCTCAATGATATTTTACGATCAAGACAATTGGCTGAATCTCGGGAAACCATTTCACATATCTTCTTTTTATAAAGCAAATCGACTTCGATTCTTGAATAATCCGGATCACTTCTGCTTCTATTGTAACAAAAGATTTCATTTTTCTGTGGAAAAGGCTCGTAATAATAACTCATATTTTCTATATGGTACAACCTCAGCTCTCCACCACTGGTGCCTCTCTCCCAAGAACCCTTGTTTCTTTGCAAGTCCAACCCTCGCCAAATTCTCCAATTCGCTCTTAAATCCAAACCCTCCTATCTCCACCTCAGAATCTATAAGCCCCTTCATCTATAGCTCACCCAAGTTTTTGTGGAAAAGCAAGCCTAGAAGCCCTTCAAATTATCAGCACCTAGACGAAAAGATTTCATCTTCATCAAAGAGTTATGTTTGGGTCAATCCCAAAAGTCGCAGAGCGTCTAAATTAAGACAGGTTTCTTATGATTCCAAGTACTCTTCTCTGGTGAGCATTTCGTGATCTTTGGATTCTTGAAGAACAATTGAATGATCGGGAACTCGGAAGCTCATTTTGAGAGAACTACACAGATCACACATAGATTGACACACATTTAACTATATATAATGCTCGCTTTAATCAGCGTTTTTGGAATCGCACGCCCACCGCTGCATCTCCGTAAGAAATCTTTCTAAGGCAAGAACACCACCTGCAGCGATGGAATAAATGGGCAACGGTTGGCGGCCAGCATGAACAACGCTTCCTTCCGGTTCCCAACCAAAAGATGTCGATGCACGCCACCGACTTCCCCGACTAGCCGCCGGTGATATTCACCTACACAAACGCGAACAACAACCTCAATCCGACTTTGTTAACCACCACGAAATCCATGAAAATGAAGAAAGTGAAGTTCAATGCAACAGTTGATCTGCGATTGTGCTTCAGAACACGACTTTGATTGGCGTTGAAAATCACCCAATACACTTTTATTGACCGGAGCTGTACTTAAGACATGTAAATTGATCTTAAGCTGAGAGAAGATCTAAATATGAAATGACTATATTATCCCTGTACTTAACATCATTTTGATGGATTAACAAACATAGGACAATATTGAGCGATAACACCAAAGTCTGGGAGACACCAAATCGTTTACGACAAAATTGAGAAAAACTACTATAGTCGAGGATAATTTTGAGTATTAACTCTTTTTAAATTTATTAAAGGAGTTAATACCCAGGATCGGTCCAAACATTTTATAGGTCCGAGGTGAAATTAAAAAAAGGCTTATATGAAAAACTAAAATTTAAATTTAATAATACTAAAAAAAATGATAATATATATCAAATAACATGAAATAAGATTATAAAATTTTCAACAATTATTGAAATACAAAAATAATCATGATAAAAATTTCTATGTTCTTTACTCGAAACATATCATTTTCAATACATAAAATCGTCAAGCCATTCAATCTTACTTGTGACATTGAAGATCTCAAGTAGGTTATCATGTTCATTTAAAGAACTATTATTTGCTACATTATCATTGATTGGGGGGTGGGGGTGGGTGGAGGGGTAAAACTAACCCAATATACTTCGGGTCGGGTCACGCAATAAATGAGATCGGAGGTAAGCATAAGAGTAAGAAGTGTCACGTGATGAAGGCAATAGGGTAGATGGCTATAATTGAACGTTTATATGGTCGCCTAAACTGATTACTGTCGTAGATAAGTAAGGTCGGTCATCGAAAGGAGGAACAGAATGGGCTTACTCGGTAGACCGCTCGGCTGATCGAGAACTTCTGGTTCCCAGCCTAGTAGTCGCTCGGGTGTCCGGACGAGTGTCTCAATCGCCTTGCCGACTCACTTCGCACCCATTCGGCGGTCGTATGGGAGGGATGGGTAGAATAATGGTAGTCGGTAAAGTGGCCGAGAGGTCGGAGGCGAAAGCCCAAGGAGTAAGGCTGGAGCCTTCTAAGGAAGCGCCGGGTATCCTTGACAGTCGGAGAAGGGGCGCGGGTGGCGACTGGCCAATGTAGTCTATCGAAAGACAGAGTAGCCGACTCCGAAAGGGACTCGAATCAATACCGGAGATGTGACAGGACCCTTGAGCGATCTGGTGAACGGATTTCGTGGGATACGCGGAGGCAACAAGGAATTTTGGATCAACTGAATTTAGGAAAGGAAATCATATGTATTTATGCTAATGAGAACTTGTCTAGATTAAACTCATTTATTCTAGTATTTATGGCAACAAGGGGTTAGCTTTTCGTATACCTACAAGAATACAGAGCATTTACTTTCCGGCCAATATATTTAGTTTTTCGGTGGTGTTGGCCGGCCGTTTGACTGCCTGGATGATCAATAAAACCAACATTGGTGTCGTCAGTAGGGATTGATACGAAAGGCAGTGTCGCCCTATTCAAGCAAAGAGTTTGAGACTAGAAGATGGCAAGAACGAGGAGAATCTCAAGTTGCCGAGCAAGGTTGGTAGCCGAGCCCAGGTATGTCGGGTCCATCAGAATCTCGATGCTGCCTGCGCGGCTGCGCCTTCCGAGGCGACTCTTTCAGTGCCCTCAGCCCCCTGTTGACGTGCGGGGGTAGAAGGAACGTCTCGCTCACCGATCTTTAGGTTCAGCTCATTGGCCTTCTTTAGGTGGTCATCTTTGTTGGTCAGCAAAGCATTGGAGTCGCCCTGGAGGGGTTAGAGCTTAGAGCAAAGCTCGGTCTGGGCCGTACGTAGGTGGTGATGCATGCATGCATCAAAGCATCAACATTGTTTATTTGAAAATTCAGGCAAATTGGTCCACACAGTGTTTTGTGTATTATAACAAAAAGTACATTTTTAATATACTAAATGTACATTATTTTTATATTGAATGTACATTATTTACAGTATACAAAATATGTTCCACACAATAATGATTGAATATTCAAAGCCTTAGCTTAGGTTGATGCCTTGTCGCCTTGATGAGCAAGTTGCATTGTAAATTTCAACATACATCAAAACTGAAAACTACTAGCTAGCTAGGACGTAGAAAAGTGTAGTAAGCAGAGATTATAAAACGTCCACAAATAACAAAGAATTAATAAATGTAAGAAAAGAATTGAAGATGGAAGACATATTTGTTTGTGTTATGCTTTGAAACGTGTGTCAAGGAAGACATATCACAACCTTCCTCCCACTCCATTTCCCAAACTTCCTATATATCTTAGGCCACCTTCACCTCATTAAACTACCACTACTGCATGCAACGGAGTCTCAGTCAAATTTCTCTTAAATATATAATACCCTCCAGCTCGGCGTCCGCCGCTTTGTGGTGGCCGGTGTCATTGCCGTCGGCAATGGAGGAGTGCTTCACTAAGAACAACGTGGTTCTCGCGGACCGCCCAACTGTCTTTTAACATCATATATATTGAGGATAACTTCTGGAAAACGGTACTTTAATTTGGTATGGATGATGAAGACGACAAGGCCGGAGGCTATGGAGTTCAGGGAGCTTATGAGAGAGAGAGAGAGAGAGGAGGAGAGGTCTTGAATTAATGGGGAGGAAATCATGTCCAGGTTATGGACTTGCTCAGAGAGTTGTGGGATTAGCTTTGGGATTACTGATACATAGAGGCCCTCTTTGGTAAAATAGAGTAATTTATATTATGTGCGCCCAGGTATAAAACGCGCACGTTTCTTGCTGACTTCACTCCCGCCGTTCGAACAGACCAAATCTTATTATGTGTATTCAATTAAAATTTGATGTGTATTGTGTTATGTGTTTATATGTATTCAGTTAAGAGTTTGTGTATTATGTTAACCAAACTCCATTATGTGTATTATGTTAACCAAACCCCATATGTGTATTCAGTTAAAAATTTATGTGTATTGTGTTATAAGTTTATGTGTATTATGTTAATCAAACCCCATTATGTGCATTCAGTTAAAAGTTTATGTGTATTATGTATTATGTTAGATTATGTGTATTTTGTTATGAGTTTATGTGTATTCTGTTATGAGTTGATGTGCATTCGAAACAGAGAATTTTTTTTAACTTAACAAAACAATGTCGTTTTGGGAGGCGCGGGACGCACAGTGCTATGTGCACCGTGGTGCACGATATAACGATTGGATAAAATAGTTAGCCTATCAACCAATTTTTACTTATTTAACTACTATTAAGTGTTTGGTTAATTCGCTTTTTGTAACTCTAAAATTTTAAAATTCAAAAAACTGCTCAAGCAACTTTTTCAATTAGCTTTTTGAGAAAAGAAAGTATACCAAACAACCAGGGCGAATCCATAAATTTTCTTCAGTGGGGGCAAAAAAAAAAATAAAATGAAACACCTAGAGGCCGAACCATAAATATTGTTGACTAGGGATAAAAAAACAAATACATTAAAACGCGATAAAAAATATTCAAAACAAAAAATTGTTCAAACAGAAATTACATTATAAAATATAAACCACTAATCTCACTATTAATATTTAAAAGAATATCTCAATAATGTTACATATAAATAATCCAATTAGAATTAGAAATTAATCTCATAAAATCATAATTTTAAATTTAGGACATTTCACACACTATCATAGGTAGGTCTAACCATCTAGGCTAATTCATTCTTTGGTTAAATTTTATACATCTAATATTTATACATGTTTAGTCTGTATATATAAGGAACCTATACATACAATATATATAAAGGGGATGGGATGGAGAGGGGGCAGCTGCCTCCATTGTAGATCCGTCCTTGCAAACAACTATCAACAAACAACTAATTTACCAAACACCTTTCTACAATCAATTAATATTATCAACTAATTATACCATCTAATTAACTCAATCAACTAGCAGCTAACGACTATTCACCAAACATGGATTCACTGCACCTAAAGTAGAGCCGCTTGTGGCCATGTGCAAGTTAAAGCCAGAGGTTTTGCTCATAAAATTCTGTCACAAAACTCCTAGAAAATTAAATACTTCTGTAGCTAAAGTAGAAGAATAGATAATGATTATGTATGTAGACTATAGAGGGAGTTATCATCATCAAACTAATAAAACAACCTTCATTCAGTTCACTCTGATAGTGATTATGGAGAATCTCTCCACACTTCCCGGAGAAGTTGATACCTCACAACATTAGTCTGTCCAGGTTTCATCAAATTTGGAGAATCCTTAAAGCACTCACCAAGAATTGATGTCAATGGGGAGTCCAACTCATCAAGCTCAACATCACTGCTATATAACTTTTTCAGTGATGATAATCCACTCCTCTTTGGAGCTTGCAGGTTCCCCATCTTCTCCAAGAAACTGGAAAGAGAGGCTGTTGGAGGGGGCGTGTACGAGGTTGATATTGCAGTGAATGGAAACGTAGTGATACGTTCTCCAGAACCTCCATCCGGCTTGTTAAGTATGAACATTTGTAAAAATGTCAACAAAATTTATTTCTGCATGTTTATCTATGGAATTGAATTGGGAGAAATTAAGAACCAACCTCAAAATCTAAAGCCTGAAAGACGGTTTTGGGGATTGGTTCAGGACGGAACTCATCAGGAACAAAACTGCTGAGAACCCGCTTTATCAGTGCTGGACCGAATGTTGGGCAGAACTACATTATATGCAGCACAGATTGAAAGAATCATTATATGCATCATTATACAGTTCTGATTTGCTGATGTTTGGTCATTACTTACTTCGTTTCTTGTGGTTTCATCGACAAGCGTCTCAAATGGAAGCATCATGAGGTTGCTCAGAGCGTTCAGAAGGCGGAAAGCTCTGAACGAATCCCCAATAACTTTATTATCAGCAGATGAATCATCATCTTCAATGCCAATGAGATCAGTAAGCCATCTGGACCAGTTTCCAATCTACAATGAAGGGAAACCAGTTAAAATTGGCTAATTCACCAATAGTTTTTGAAAGTCTGTTTTGTTAAAAGTTGTTCAAACAAAGGGAATATGTGCCCAACATGAAGCTACAAATTAAAGAAAATTTGATGAAATGGACATCTATCTACTCACAGCATTTTTTAACTGTGCCCCAGCCCTGAAGCTTGATTGGCCAATGGGAATTGGAAGTATATTAGGATCACTGATGGGATCAAATTCGGGATCAGTAGGCATGTCTTCAGCAGATCTTCGAAGGATGGCGTTGAACATTGCCACGTCCAGCCTATTTACCAAGTGTTTCATTGCCTATCATCATGAATAATGTACAGGCTTAGCAGTAATTTCTAGTTTTGAACAGGTAAAAAAACTTCACTCATGCTGTCAGAACATCTCCAATATAAGTATTGTTCATAAACTAAAATAATTCTTCATATTCAATACCTAATGAAAACCTTGACAGATGAAATCTTCACTATTAAGTCAGCAGAAGAAACAAGGAAAATAGAATGAATGTCTTGATGAGTAGAAAAAATAGTAAGAACTAAGAATGTTCTTGGCTAAATTTAAGGTTTCTTGATCAGCTATTAAACAATGACAAGTTATATATTCCCTGCACTTGAAGAAATCTAGCAGTTCAAAAACTTACTAGTTTAGACAGCATAGGTAAGCAACCACAGTTGTGTCCTCCTGCTCGGATTGGGCAAAGCCTTTCACAGGCATCCTTAAAAGAATTCCTCCAAATTTTTATAGAATTATTACCCTGTTCTTGATCAGCCAAAGCATGTTTACTCTCATATCTTCTCTTGACTGTTGAGCGCCTAGTCCCATTAGTTTTCGCAACAGCTTTTTGCATGTGTGGAGTCAGACACTGCAGACAAGAAGTGAAATTATAAGAACTAGCTGTACTGTACTAGATTTTAAAAGAAATCAGCATAAAAACGTGATGACTGGAGTGATCAACCTGCCACCACACAGATTTGATAACTTTGGAGAAGATCCATGCTTCAAGCTTTTCCAATGCTTTAATGAATGAGTCTATATCTTCCCAATCATCAGTGTTTTTAATTAAATTATTCTTCATTCCCTCAGTTGCAGAAGGCTTCACTATTCTCTGCTTATTATACTTTTTATCCCATGTAGCACCACCACTGCTTCCATCATTTCCTGTAGCTTCACTGATAATTGCTCTCAACACAATACAGTTTGACAACCAGAAGGTCAACCTGTACACCACAGAAGAAATTTTAGAAAGCCAAATAAATTGGAGAATTGGATTTAACCTGACATTCCAGTAACTTCTAATGAATTATCCTACTTCCCTTTTGTTTTCTAGCTTCATTCATACATGTGTAAGTAATAAAGAATAGGCACATACCTTGGAACATCATTGCCACATGCTCTAGAAACCAAAGCCAGCCCAGAGACAGCAGCCTTGGCAGCACTTGCCTGTTTAGCTTGGGATCCTTCTCTCCATGCATGGAGATAGAATCTAGCAATACGGCGAGCTGGGGCATGAAGCTTGTTTACATAACTTCCATGTTCTGCAACTACAGAATAAAGGCCAATCTCAATGGCTGCAGCTTCCTTCAGTTCCTCTTCAAGCATCTTAATTTTAGACTCCCAATCAGGTTTGCCATTGGACAACTCATCAGCATCTGGAACTCCTTTTTCTATTGGTGCAATACTTTCAGATTTCATTTCTTTCTTCTCAATTCTTGCTGCATTTCTAGCATATGCACTACTAGCATCTACCGCCACATCATTTCTTACTTCCTTTATTATCTTACTGTCACTAAAAAGTTCACTTAGAGTGGCAGAATCCCTTATTTGGACAGACCTCACTGACTTTAATCTATCCTTGTTCATCTGCGCTCCAATAGCCTGTTCTATGGAGTTCATTGTACCTTGTCTTCTCATAGCATTGCCAATTACCTTATTCTGAGAATACTGCCTTGTATCACTTGCATCTATAGCTTCATTTTGTTTAACTTTACTCCCTTGAAATTCTTGGGAGTATCCTGAGTTTATTGGTTCAAATTCTTTTCCTCCCTGAATATGCATTTGTGAAGGTGTAGTTTTGGATATTAATCTTTCAATGTACTTCTCTTTGGGTTGCTGAGTATTTTCTTCACTTTTGCTTTTGCCAACAGCTATTTCTCCATAAAAGTCATTCTGCATTTTAACACCAAAAACATCAAGTACAAGGAAGAGAACCGGAATTGGGACAACCCAATCAAGTTGGTTGATTTGGTAACCACAAAGTTCCAAACACCTGACCTATTGGCCTTCTTAGCTAAGTTGGTTTACCTTCTTGTGATCCTTTGTCAACTAAGTTTATAAGGTGAGGTTTACCGGCCTATTGCACACTTCCGAATAGTGAAAGCGGGTTTTCCTCATAATCCAAAATATGATAAAACTCGCAATGTTGGAGCTTACCTCGTACATACTTTCCGGTGATGGAGGGAGTTTCCCTCGTAAATCAAAATATGATAAAACTCAATGTAGTTTTATTTTTTTGGTCAGACCATGAGGTGTCCTGAGCAAACCCTAACTGTAAGAGGCATCTTTAAACCTATACCATACTCAGACTAATTCCTGTTCGCACCAGGCCGGTCCAATTAAGGGGCAAAGTGCTGATCAGATTCTAGTCTAGCAAATTGCATGTGTGTAATGCAAAGTATAGAGAACCAAGTCAACCAACTAACGCCCCTCACATGTGATCTCATAGCAAATTGCAAAATGTGTTTCTTCTCAACTAAAAGTTTAAATTAATATAAATGTTATGCTCAACATATATAGCTGAATTTAATGCATAGATAGAGAAGCTAACCAACTGAAGAAATGAAGAATTATTAGGATGATTGAGACATTATAGAATGCAGTCTGATTCCAGATACCTTCTCAATCTGAGATGGCGAAGAAGCCCAGGCAGCCTCAAAGATTGAAGAAGCAAAAGTTGAGGAGGAATGCGAGGAATCATCATCAGTATAAGAAGCAATGTCAGATTCATATTCAATCTCGAACCCAGACTCTTGTCTGTTCTTGTCCACTGGCTGCACCTTAACATACAGCGAAGGCTGCAACAGCCCTTTCGAACTCTTCTTACAATTCATCGGAACACTAATGGCTAAAGCATCTCTAATCACTCCATAATCCGCAAAGTTAATCGAAGCAGTGCCCAGAAGTTGCCCTTGACTGGCATTCTCCCTCGGAGATTCATACAGGTGAAATTCCAAGCAATTCTTCTTAAATTCCTCCCGCGATTTCTTCCCCCGACGCTGCAGGGTTAAGAAAAACGTGAAAGATTTGTTAAATTCCAGGAAATCATCTTCGACAGTTGAAGTAACAAACCCAGAATTCAGATCCCCGTTTTCCCACTGAAGCACCACGAACTCAACAGATCTCAACGACTCCGATGGCGGCCAGGGCTTGATCATCTGTATATGAACAACATAGTCTATTTTTAACGGAGCAAACTTTTTCTTCCTCAGCTCCCCGAGAACCATCGCTCCGAAACCCTAACCATTCAAAATCAACAACTATGAGCATATGTTTCAGATGAACCCAATTAAAAGAAGCAAATACAGATACAGATGAGGTTTAAACTTGGAAAAGAATACCTGATGGCGCGAGATATCGACCTTGCCCAGAGTTCCTCTGTGCTTTTCACAAGCGTTACGGACAATATGGAGAATAGTTTAGGATTATTGTAATGATATGATGCAGGAAATTAAGGAGTTACCAGTGAAGATGAAGAACATGAGTTTCGTGCGTCCAAATATGTTTGAATTTGGAGGGAACCGGTAGTACAGTGGAAGATCGTTAAAATCATTTAGAATATACGGAGTAACAATTATGGATTACTTTTTTCCCATTTCACAATTATAATACTCATTGGGAATCATTATTCGCATGGTATGACATATATATATATATATATATATACTTAATTTTTTAGCACATTGCGCGATTGGGATAATGTTCAATATTTTTTTAAAATAAATATTTTAAAGTATATCAAGACACGATTATATTGAAATTGTTCATGCATAGATAATTGAATGTTGAATTTGCGTATTTAAATTCGTAATTCTAAGTTTACAAATGCAAGATAATATAATCAAGATTGATTATAATTGTCAATAAAATAATTATATGGGTATGGTTGACACCAAATACGGGATGTAAGGGAGAGCAAATAAAAATTAAAGCATAAAATATTAAATATATACTAATATTGTTTGAGGAGATTCCGGCATTTGGAGCGTTATGCTATGAGCACGTGCCCACCTTGCAAGGTGGGCACAGTTCCATATCCATAATTTCTATACTGTAGATCCATAATTTCTATACTTTAGATTTATAATTTCTAATCCATAGATTCTTAATTTAAATACAGTAGATTCATAATTTCTATACTGCAGATTCATAATATCTGTACTGTAGATTCATAATTTCTATACTGTAAATTCATAATTTCTAAACTGTTTAGTTATCAATTATGAACATATAGTTCTCTGATTTTTGAAAACAGAGTTCAACAATTGGAATCTAAAGTATAAATTTTATGAATCTACAGTATAGAAATTATTGATCCATAGTATAGAAATTATGGATATGGAACCGTGCCCACCTTGCAAGGTGGGCACGTGCTCAAAGCATAATTTGCCGGATTTGTGGTTAGAGTTCTATTAAGACTTTACACGGACTGTCAAACACTACAAACATACCTGTCCTCTACGGAGACTCGGTCTCGATCCTATCTTGGTTATGCACTGGATGCTTGCAAAGCTTATATGGCTACGTTTACTTATTGCTCAGTTAATTTTATTCCTAGATCGCATAATTATTTAGCGCATACTTTAGCTTCTGATGCTTTTAATTTTGATTTGCCTATGTATGGGATGCTATCCCACCAACTCAGTTTCTTGTTATCTATAAATGCAACCACAATGGTTTCCTCAAAAAAAAAAAAAAAGACTTTAATATTAGAATTAGATTAATGTTGTAGTTATAATTCTATATTAGACTAATATTAGAATTAGATCAACGGTGAATTAACGGTACTTAATGGAAAAGTTAACGGATCGAATCATTATATAATTAAGGATAAATTAGGAAATCTCAAGGAAAAATAAAAATCTGAACAATTGAACTATTCATTTGATTTAATAATTTGACGGTAATTTTTTCTACCTAATGTTTATAATTAAATAAATATTTGAAAGTATATAAATGCAAGATTATATATGAATTCATCAATTGATTATATATGCAAAAAATAGTGCACAAAAAGTATAATAGACAATGTAATGCATATGATCAATTGATGAATTTGAATGTAAAGAATATTTACATCGGAGAAAAATAAAGACAATATACTAATGAAATTATTTCTCTTAATTAATTTATTGATAATGAATAATTTTTTTAAAAAAAGACATTGTAGGGACAATGTAGCGAATATAATCAATTGATGAATTTGAATTTTGAATGTAAAGAATTTTTATATTGGAGAAAAATAAAGACAATAAAAGTAATGAAATTAATTCTCTTATTTAATTTATTGATAATGAATAATTTTATTTATTTTTTTTGAATAAAGCCATTGTAGACACATAATTCTAAATTAAAGAAATGCATATGTATTATTTTTTGTTGTAGCTACTAAATTATTATTTTAATTTAATAAAAGTAAAATAGAGTACTAATTATGCCAACTTTGATTGGAATGGGGTTCGAACCTAAGACCTTTTTCATTGAAATCAATGTGTAAGTTAACGGTGAACTAACAGAAAAGATAATATTTAACGGATAATCATATTCATTAAGGATAAATTAGAAATCTCAAGGAAAAATTAAAATCTGATCAATCTGAGCCATTCATTTGATTAAAAAATTTGACTGCCATTTTTTCTACCCATTATAGGCCTAACTCTCTTGGGCTCTTATTAGTATATATATATATATATATATATATATATATATATATATATATATATATATATATATATATATATATATATATATATATATATCTAAATCTAAAAACATAATGAGTTTCTGTTATATCCTTGATTTATGTCTATTTTTTTTGTTAATATTTTTTGCACCTTATGCTATAAAAGTTGTACTACATAATTTTTTGGACAAAAATATTCCTGCCGTTATAACTTATGTTATCTTTCCACATTATTATTACCATGTACATATTTTTTCTTACATCCTTCAATGGTAAGTTTGAATTCATTTAGGTTTTAATTAAAATGTTACCATATTTATATTTACTAATTTATCATTTCTATATATAATTCTTACCTCAATAATATTAATATGAATTATACAATTATATATATATATATATATATATATATATATATATATATATATATATATATATATATATATATATATATATATATATATATATATATATACCCAAAAACATAATAAGTGTGAATGAAAGTTATACCATGATTTATGTCCGTTTTTTCCGTTAAGTTTTTTTTTTTTTTTTTTTTTTTTGTTTTGTTTTTTTTTTGTTTGTACATTATGATATAAAGGTTGTACATTAAAATATTTTGGACAAACATACCCCTACCCGTTATAACTTCCGTTATCTTTTTCACTATTGTTACCATGCACATGTATCCACCATATATTTTCTTATCTTCTTCATTAATAATAATATATACACATTATATATTTGAGTTATATGTTAATTATTACATATAATATAAATATCAAATTTATAAAAATAATTTACATTATTATTATTATTTAGAATAATTTAAATATCTAAAATCTAAATAAATTTAAAATTTTAATATAATGTATTAATATTGGGCACCTATTTTTTGCGCATCGCGCATAAAAATACTAGTGTATATATATATATATATATATATATATATATATATATATATATATATATATATATATATATATATATATATATATATATATATATATATATATATATATATATATATATAGGATTCAATGAGACCCCTAATGAGATCTCATCTCGACCATTAAAAAGGTTAGAATTGATGGATATGATTAAAAGTCAACTAACATTTAATTAAGAATAGTTTTAAAAGAAAATGGTGAAAGAGTAATTGTATTATAGTGTTTAATTTTGGTTATAATTAAAATATAATATTTATCATAATATAAGGGATCCTATTAATCTAAATAATTAATTATATTTTGAATTCTGAGATTGATTAATACGTCTGTGGGTGTGTGCGTTTGTGTTACATGGCGTGTGTATGACTTGCTTTTTTTTTTTTTTTTTTTTTTTTTTTTTTTTTTTTTTGTACATTGGTGTGGTATGGCGTATGCATTGGACTGGTATGGCTTGTGCATTGGACTGGTATAGCTTGTGCATTAGACTGGTATGGCGTTTGCGTTGCGTCTTTCAGGCATGTGCGTGAGTTTGTTTTCATTTTGATTGGTGCAAATTTATTGAAAATACACAACGAACAAGCCCAAGTACATGAATCAGTTTTTTTTTTTTTGTATAGACGTTTGCATTTTCAAGTGGATAGAAAGTGCATAGTAGAGATCGTTTTGTTTTGTTTTGTTTTATTTTGTTTTGTTTTGTTTTGTTTTTTTTTTTGAATTTGCTGCGTAGGTGTGTGCAACAATTAGTGGTGTCGTGTGCGTTTGTCTGGTCGTCTGTGCAAACAACATTGTGGTGTGTGCGTAACACTCCACTGTGTACGATTTTTTTGTTGTACAGCTCTCACCAAAAAATAATTAATACTTATTACCATTAACATTCTCTCTATTATTATACTAAAGATTTCCATTTAATTCTAACCAAAATTAACACACTATTAGAATTACTTTTTAACCCTTCTGATTATAATATGTCCTTAATTACTTCATATTTCTCATTCAATCCTAACCATCCATTAGGAATGTATTAATGAATGAGATGAGATCTCGTGATATCATTTAACATGGGGGTCTAATGGGATCCGCACACACGCACACATACTATATTTTTAAAAAATTAATATAACTAAGATTTTAATATTTAATTTTAATAGTGGGCATATATTTTTTGCGCATCGCGCATATAAAATAATACTTATATATATATATATATATATATATATATATATATATATATATATATATATAAATGAGTTTTTTAATTCAATCATATCCATTGATGTACACCCTAGTTATATGTGATCTCATAACCATTTAATATATTATATCAATGGATATGATTGAATTAAAAAACTCATATATATATATATATATATATATATATATATATATATATATATATATATATATATTTATACTCAAATGCGGTTGGTGCGTCCAGGTGCGATTGTGCGGTTAAATCGGATCCATTGATCTTACTTAAATCAACGTCCAGGTTTATCAATTTTTTTTTTTAAAAAATGCGGTCGCAATCTGGTAATTTTTGCATTTAGGTCAAATTTAAGGTGTGTGGTTTTCCTTCTTAAGATGCGTGATTTTT